CTCCAAGGGGCTATATAGGGGGTTGTAGAAGAAAGCCCAGGTATATACAGGAGAGGGGGGGGGGAAGTGGCTGGCGCGCAGGGGGTCGTTGGACCAGGGCGCTATCCGAATTACCATGATAAAGGCCGCCTCGATGTTATGTCCTATTAAGTCACGGCTTTGTTCCACCTTCCCTTCCACCTCTACTCGTCTCTCGTTTTCTGGACGATGGGAATCCTGCCGGCGATCCGGGACGCATCTTCCCCTTGGCAACGTTTCTGCCCATGTGTGTGTGTGCTCGTTACACTGCAGATATATCCTACACGCAATATTTTGCCGAGGGTATAAGGAATCCAAATGCTCCGGGACTCTTCTTTCTCCAGCCTCTAGTTATTATTCCTAGCTCTCTCCCTCCTTAGCCTCGTCATCGTCGACCTATACCGTTGTGTTTTTGCTTCTTCTTGCGTTATATATAGGTACGCTGGACGAACGGAGGATAGAAAGCCATGAGAGCTCGGGTCTCTGTGGGCACATGTGTGTAACGTGTAGTATAACGCGTCAACGGGATTTGAGCGAAAAACCGGGACAAAAGTAAGGAGATTGCGGTCAAGGATAAAAGGGTCGCAAACCCTTATACGCACGATATTCGCGAATAATTTTTTTTTTTTTTTTTTTTTTTTTTTTTTCCCAACCCCTACCTTCCGACCCCCCCGAGGCCACTGGCGCACTCGAAAAACCAAAATTGCGGTTCACTTGGCTAAGGAGTTAACCAGATTTGCGCTTTTGGTGATTTTGTACGTGTTTCCTATCCTTTTCGCTCGATGCACTTGCCGTCGTGTATACAATATTTGGAGAAAAAAAAGGCCGCCGCTGTGGTACGTAAATATAATAAATATGTACTCGTTCAAAATGCTCGTTGTGTATATTTTCCATCGTGCACGATCGTGCATGTTTATAAACTTAAGCACGGACGGCTACATGACGTATGCATCACAGTGCAATACATTGCAGTACACCTATACTTGCAAGTTTATCTTAGGGGATAAAATTAGAAGACTAGGTTTGTTCAATTATCTACCTTGGAGCGCTCCGAGCGATCTATAAATGAACACGAGTTCTTTGTCGGAGAACTCGGAGGCCTCCGAGATATCCTCATACTATATATAAATATACTCACTATAGCTTCTCATTGTTTACAAACATCAGTCATAAGCGGTGAGTATACCCATACAGTATAAGGATATCTCGGAGGCCTCCGAGTTCTCCGACAAAGAACTCGTGTTCATTTATAGATCGCTCGGAGCGCTCCAAGGTAGATAATTGAACAAACCTAGTATATTCACATGTGCCGATCGTTTTTAATTTGACCGAGCAAAATATGCAAGATGGATCGAATCTATTGTGTATAATTACCTGTATACTCCGATGCGCATGTATTTTCTTGACATCTTGACCCGATTCTTCTGCTATACATTACAAACACGGAAGATTGCAATTTCTTGCTAAACTCGTATGGACTCGTTAAGTGGGAGTGTTTTTATGAATTTCTACGTACAGTACGTCTGTGTGGGGGTTGAAAAAAAAAATTTTCTAAACTGGAATGATAAGTTTCGGTTCAAAAAAAGGGCAAGTGTCTTTTATCGCGAGTTATTTCGCTTGGCTAATCAAAAATTAGATGCAGATGTTACATGACGCCAATATTGGTAATTTTTTGCAAAATTTTTTACATTGAAGGAAATCACTGTCAAAACTTTTTACTGTTGAGCCGCGACCGGCATTTCACGGTTTACAAGTCGCTGGTGGAAGTACAACCGTTTTATATTCTATTTTAGTTCGCACATATAATGTTCATTCCAGCGATCTATCATTAACGATCTTTGACGTAATTAAATTTGTTTTACATCAGAGGTAAAATTATCGCGAACGTGCCAGTAAAAATTCCAGATGCACCTATACTTGATCTAAGAGCTCACTTTACATCCATATCTGAGTGTAACACAATTATTCTTCACACAAAGAAATCATATTACATTATAAAAATGGTCAGACTGTTAGGCCTCGGCATCGAAATATTTAACAGTCCAAAAGTGCATTATCATCATCGATATGAAATAATAAATGTTGTGTAATTTTAAGCACATTATTTTATGTTATTTAAAGCACAACTTAAAATTTCAAAGGAAATAATACGTGAACTGTAACAAATAAGTATACTAATGAAATAATAATGTTACCGACCGCAAATTACATGCAGTCGATGCCAACGAATAAATAAATAAGTATACGCAAATTGAAACTAACGGTCTCAGATTCGCGGAGTGAAAAATTGTAAAAAATGACGTGTCCAACGCCACGGCGAACCAAAAAGTGTAAGTACATTAGAAAATAATTATTGAGCCAGTCATCGTCCCACGCAGTCTAGAGTTCGCGAAAAGTTTACCATCTGCTCGTGTAACCCTAACTCGCTTCAATTTCGTCGAACCCAAAGAGCAATTGGCAATAATACGTGTTATCATCCACACGTTTGAATTTCCTTTTGCGAAACGGGTAAAACCAAAAGAAAGACAGACAGATCGTAAGTAGGTTCGGGCCGTCGCCGCGACGGTGGCAGACGGCAGCAGCTCGTCTGTGCAAAAAGCATGTCTGTCGTAGTCGCTCTCGTCGTCGCGGGGCCTGAGCCAATGGGGAACATCCGCGACCAGAAATTATAACCTTCTCGCCTCCTCCGCCTCTCTCCAGCTTTCTTCGTCTTCGCGAAACTTAACCTCATTTTTTCGCAAACGCAAAACCTCAGGCTCTCGCAAAAAAATAAAATACTCACTCCTCGCCCTAACGATTGTCGCGCCAATAGACGAGTATATAGAATAATATAATAATAGGTGAAAGGGAGCGTACAGAATATTTGTATGCTTATGGATTTTCGCAAAACAAAACAAAGCATGGAAAGGGTGATTAGCAACAAGTCAAACATCAAACGGCAAAAGAACACCTCTGTGTCGAAAGAAAAGGGATGGTACTGAGTGTATAGGTACCTGTTGGAGCTGCACGATCGGCTCGATCGGTTCCCCGCGAACAAGGATCCTTTTGATACACACAACAGTAGCACACGAAAAATGATACACAGAGAGGCAGACAGAACTACGGTCGATCGAGCATCGAGCACGAGAGCGGAGATCAGCCAAACACGCTTAGACACAATTCTACACGTTTAATAAGTAGCTCTATCTCTCTCTCTCTCTCTCTCTCTCTCGCTCTCCTTCTGCTTGCCGCTACGTGAATTAGCCGGTTATCCCCTTCACCCTTTGAACAATAAATAAAAAAAGATTTATTATATAAGACAGGCAAAGAGTCGAAAAATGTATAACAAAGTCCGCGAACTGAACTCGTACCTTTGATGTACTAACTTGTAATATTGCATATATTATAAGAAAAGCTCAGAAAGATCCGTCCCTCTGGGGACTCGGGGCTGTTACACGGAGACGTTGTGTACGCGACTGCAGGCAGCGAGACGAGAGTATCATATAGGTAACACGCACGCACGCAAAACTTTTTTAACTAATGCTTACAAAAAGTAATGAACACTCAAAAGATAAACAAGTCCGCACTAAGAGTAGATATATATATATATATAAGCAGGTGCAGACGAATTTGGATGCTTTATTTTTTTAAGATAAACTCCGGGTTTTCGACACTTCCATCGGTGCTCTCTCTGCCTCGCGGGACGTAAACTTTACACGATACCGTAATTTATAAGTAAGTATACTTAATATGGTAAGGTCCGACGCGGACGCGCACGTTCGCTCTCTAAAATACTGTACCTCTATAGGTATATCACTTGGAGCTGAAACTGTTCTTTATAGCTCTTGTCCTCCTCCTCCTCCTCCTACCCCTCTTCTATCGACGGCGTCTACGCCAAGTCAAACCAACAAAACGGTAACGAAGTTTTATAAAAGTGAAAGTAGATGTAGGTACAAGTATCTCTATCTCTTTTTTCTTTATTGACTCAAGTCATGCACTAATCATAATCGCAGGGCTTTACTCTACAGTACACGCTCGCGAGGTATACATATATGTATTTGATATGCCGTTGATCTCGCTGACCTGACGTCACTGGTTTTGCCGCCGTGCTCCAAACGCCCTCTCTTTAAGCTTATCACACACACACCCTCGATCGATCCGCGATTTTCTTTAAGCGTATTTCGGTTTTTACTCAATAAAGCGATCAATCTATAAGTATTGATTGCCAATGTCATTTTTACAGTTTTTATGAATAATTAGATTAATACTTTATTTATTGGGTAATTTGATGATCCTCGACTTCCATACCTCATGTACTCTTTAGAAAACGTAACCCTTGAGATTCGATGGGAGGTAAAAATCTTCTGCCCATATGTAATTAAATAAAACACCGAAAATTGTCGTTAACATTATTAACTTTTCAAGCTTAAGTACTTATTATTTTATTAATAAAAAAAATTAAAAAAAAAAAAAAAAAATTAATTTGAAATGATACTCCGCCATCAGTAAAAAAACAAAAGTTACTAATTGTTATTCCAAATAAAATTTGTTTCGTACACCCAAAGGATATCGGTGCGTTTAGTCAGATTCATTCGAACTCGATTGAATAAACAATGGTAAATCCTCTAAAATTAAAATTTGTAATGAAAAACTGATGTAGGTAAGTATATAAGAAACCATGAAGATAAGTAGAGCAGCTTACAAGTAAGTAAGACACAAGTAGTAAAAACTCGCTATGATCAAACAGAGGGAGGATAAGTAAAAGAGAGAGAGAAAGAGCGTATAATGTCCCCTCGGACCGTTTAAACAAGCGAAAACTCCCGAAAATTTTCCGAGTTTCCATAAGTACACGTAAGTAAGTATCTATATGTACTCTCGCGCGCGTTGTGAATGCAGCCTGTCGCTCGCTCACATTCCACTTCTCATGGGCGTGTTTGGCCCTTTGTTTCCCGTCTCTTTCCCTCTTTTTACCCAACGATGACGATACAGCGGCGGCAACTCGCGAGTGTTACCCGATCCCTGCTACTGCGGATGGCTGCGTCGCGGGCGGTGTAGTTATTTTTTTTACTAAACTAGGAAGATAGTGTATAAAATTTTCCAAAATGTGGATGTACTGAGGATCGTGTACGCGAGAAACTTGAACGTTCAACTATCGTTGAAAAGTAGGAAAAAAGTTCGAAGATCATGCGTCAGCTGCACGATTTCGGAGCGCTGGTCGGCTGCTACCTGTTGGGCGTAGCCGTCGTGGTGTTGGCTCAAAACGACAAGACTTACTACGAGACGGCCAAGGATGACCAGGTAATGCCCGATTGGCAGACGCGGGACGCCTTCGACGAGATCCGCCACAAGTTGGACAAAGTTACCCAGGACAATTGCCAAATTCAGCACCTCGATGATCTCTACCTGCCAGAGAACAGCGTCAGCCACCTGCCCGACATCAAGGAGATCAACATCAATCCGATCTTTCCGAATCGCACGGCCCTCTTGCATCTACACAACATGGCCCTAACCAGAAGCTTCTACTGGAGCTACATCCTGCAGTCGAGGAACTACAAACCACCGATAAACGATACCTACGATCCGGGAATGATGTACTATTTCCTGTCCACTGTCGCCGATGTTTCGGCGAACCCGTACATCAATGCTTCGGCCATTTACTTTGCCCCAAACGTGTCCTTTACGTCGTCCTACAGAGGATTCTTCAACAAGACCATGCCCAGATTTGCCCCCAGGACTTTCAGGGCTGATGATTTCAACGACCCCGTGCATTTGGAGAGAATATCGACCATGAATACGTTTTACACTCAGGACTTGGGTGCTTTTCCGTCAGACCAGCTCAGTAGAGACTATACAACCGACTACTACAGGACGAACGAGTGGTAAGTGGCAATGCTACGTTACGTTATTCCTTACATGTGCACGGAATTGAAAAAATTTTTTTTGTCATTCCATTTCACTGTTTGTCTACTCATTGCTAATAGAATAACTGGTTGTAACGATTTCCAAATTTTTCTAGGTACAAGAAATGGCTGCCAGACAATACAGAAAGACACGACACCAAAATAACGTACCAGGTGGAAATCAGATATGCAAATAATACCAACATCACTCACACGTTCCATGGTCCCAAAGGTGAGAGTTTCATCGTACAAAGCTTGCGAAGGAAAAATTTTAAAAATCGGAATTTTAAAACAAACGTGTATTTCAGGTCCCCATGAGGAGGGCGGACCTGTGAAATGGATAAGACCGTATTTCGATTGTGGCCGCTCCAACCGTTGGCTGTTTGCGGCAGTTGTTCCAATCGTGGACTTGTACCCTCGTTACACGGGCTTCAGGCATATCGAAATCCCCAAGTAAGAACTTTTCTCGCATGAAAAGCAGATGCAACTGCCTGCTGCAGCTACTGCACTTTTTCAAATTGGTGCATAATAATGCACTGGGCATGCATCGAAATATATGGCCAAGAGACGATTGGCCGCCTCATTATATATTATAATTTATTCGAGTCCCCTTTTCTTTGAGACCCACAAGAGTCCAAGAGGGTGTGTGCATGCATTGGTCTGTCTGTCTGTCTTTATACTGGTCAAGCAGGAATGACCCTTTCATATTGCTCATACGTGTGAAATACTGCAGCGCGATAGGATTAAAGCACTTAAAGGATTAAGGAGGGACAGTAGTCAGATTTCAAAAATCTACGCTTTTTTTTCCAAAGACCTTTAAGGCCAAAGTTGTGCTGTTCTCAAAGCCCCTGTATATTGTTACAAATACGTCCTGTCCATTTGTTCTGTGCCACCTTTGATTAATGCCATTTGAGTTTTTCTTATACATCAATACCTTTTCGTAAATTCTAGGTACACAGCCGTTTCGGTTGTGGAAATGGATTTTGAGAGGATCGATATTAACCAATGTCCACTTGGTGAAGGTAATAGAGGACCAAATAAATTTGCTAATACCGCTAGATGTAAAAGGGAGACTACTGAGGTACACAACTACTTGTTTTAAAATTAATCGATTTGAAATATAAAATAGTAAAATAATAAAATAATGGTTTTATAGTGCGAGCCTCTTCATGGATGGGGATTCAGAAGAGGAGGATACATGTGTAGATGTAAGCCAGGGTGGCGACTACCAAACGTAGTGAGACGACCTTATCTCGGAGAGATCATCGAAAGAGCGTCATATGAACAGTATTACAATGGATTTGATTGTTCCAAAATAGGGTGTAAGTATTCATTTTTACTTCTTTTTTAATGAAACGCTATTTTCATTGGCACTAAAAAATTTTTCTTGTTTCAGGGATTCAAAAGAAACCCGCGGAATTGTCAAAGGTGACAGATATCCAGAGAGAGAAATATTTGGAATACTATCATGAATATAGAAATTTTTCGGCTGGAGCAGACTCGTTGCACGATGAAAAAATGAATATAGATCAAGTTTTAAAATTTATCAACAGCGTTAACCCAACTACTTGTAAAAAGTATGAACTTTGTTATTAAGAATTTAATCTCTATTTTCTCTGTTTTAACGACTAAAAATTCTTCACAGCTACAACAAAGAACAATTACGACTGCCAGGCGACATTGCTTTTGGCGTGGAAGAGTTCTACGAGAACGAAGCTAAGATGGCCTCACGTCTTGCCAACTTTATTAGCTCGTTCTTACAGGTCTCGGATCCAGAAGAAGTGTATTCGGGTACACGCGTCGCCGATAAGCCTCTTAACGAAGATCAAATGATAGCTGAAGCGGTAGCTCTGCTCTTTGGTAATCAGAGAATCTGGTCAGCCGGTATTTATTGGGATCGCAAAAAGTTTACCAATCGCACGTACTTTGCGCCATTCGCCTACAAAGAAGAACGTAACGCTTTGAAATTGAAGGTCGAGGATTTGGCGCGACTTAACAGTACAGGTAATTACTACAGATAATAATTAGTAAAAGAAATATAACGACCTACTCAAACGAAATCGTAACGCTTGTCCAGAGGATCTCTATACTAAAAACGAATGGTTCCAACTGCTGAAGAACCGTTGGGCCGCAAATTACGACGATCTCGAGAAATACTTCTTAAAAATGATGGTGCGCTACAACGAGACCGGCGAATCTTTGAAAAAATACGAACAATATCCAACGTACTACAGGTAAAACTCGATTACAACCCTTCCTCCCTCACCCTTTACCCACCCTCCTCGTATACCCCCTTTCCTTATGTTTAAGGCTCTTTAATAAATTTTTGCGCCGAAATAAAAATATTATTCTAGGCCACGTTGTAGTATGCATGGTCTCTCTCTCCCTTTGCTTGATACCACCTCGTGCTTGAACTTTCCCACATAACTCTCTGCAAATAGAGGAAGCCTCGCCGCAGTGGCGTCAACAAGGAGTGAGTGAGAAAGAGAGTTTTATGTCTCTTTGGTAAAGTTAGAAAAAAAATATATATATATTAAAGGGGGATCAACAGAAGAGAGAGAGAGAGAGAGAGAGATAGCTTCGTGGGGGGTTATCTGTGTTAGGTTCTTCACTACCTGCCCTTCTTACTCTTTCTCGTTCTATATGTGTGTAATTTATTTTAATGCGCTTGCGGATGGGGCGGGTCTGGGATGTCCTATCCTCTCCTTTTACTCGGTCTCCGGTATCTGCTGCATTGGGGTGATCCTCTCATACGGCTACTGTCTCACTATCTTGTCTCTCTGTGTGTATATAGGGCGGCAAACCTGAACCATGGCTACTGGACCGTCCCTTACTTCGATTGTAACGGCAAAGTGAAGAAATGGTTAATTACCTATGCATCCCCCTTTTTCGGCTGGGACAAACTCAAAAACAAACTGGAATTCAAGTGAGTATATACCCCCGCGCTCTCGTCGCTCTCGCGTGAGATAGTTGGGAAGAACCGGGGAGAAGAGGAGAACCTGTTGTTGTTAGCTAGCTCGCGGCTGCTGCTGCTGCTGGTTACTACCTAATACTGCTCTTCTTCCCTTCGTTCGCAAAGCTGGCTCGCTCGCGACGATCAAAAACGTAGGGAGGTTTTGTAAAAAGGAAGATCATATTTAACATTAAGACACTTACAGGGGTGTCGTAACCGTGACCATGGACTTGCTACAGCTGGATATCAACCAGTGTGACGATGAATCCACTGTTTCCAACGCGTTTAAGGGGACACACAAGTGCGACAAAAAAGTCTCATATGTAAGTTCCTCCATTCGACCTTCTATCTTTTCTTTGTTTTATTTTTCTTTTCCATTATTATTATTATTATTATATGTCCTACCTTTTTTCGGCCTACTTTGCCTGTTTGCTCTTTTTTCCTCACTTTTTCTCGCGCATCGGCTCTCTCGACGCCTCTAATTGTGCCATACTCACAAAGTGCGAGGTGGCCTTAATTAATGGGAGGGGACACTCCCAGAAAAAAAAGAGATAGAAAGAACGAAAAGCAAACAATGGAGCAAACTTTCAGCAGAGGCAATAATCGTTAAAAATAACCATCATTTGCTATTCTTTTTTTTTTATATCATTCTATCTTCACGCTTACACGTTTTGCATGTACATTTAGTGCGTTCCGATATTGGGTCGAGCATTCGACAGCGGCGGCTACAAGTGCGAGTGCAAGCAGGGATTTGAATATCCTCTTGAAGATCTGATAACGTACTTTGATGGTCAACTCGTTGAAGCTGAGTTTGGAAATATTGTTGATGACAAATTGACTAGGTAAATAGCGACAACGTAAAATTGTATAGCTAAAAAAATCCTAGATCCCATTTGTAAACGTCAAAATAAATTATTTCAGGTATGACGTGTACAAATGCAGATTAGCGGGTGCTGGCTCTATGGAATTCAGCTGGGTACTGCTTCTGCTGACTTTCGTAAAACTAATTTTCCCTGGCCATTGGAGATAAGCATAGGGATATTTTTTTTGGGGGGGGGGGAGTTTTGAACAAATTTTTTATCAAAACGTTATGCTAAATTGCTGCAATATAATTACGTAGATTAAGAATTTTTACAAAAAGTACAAGAAGTAATTTTTTAAGGAATCTCAAAGTCATTTTACAGACTTGCATGTCCGTCCAATATTTTCTTTTACCTTAATTTTATACGTGCATATTGTTCTAATATGCTGTGAAGCGCTCAAACTGCCAGGCAGTTTTTTTTATGTAGATATTTTAATATAAATCACGAGTATTATGTAATCGAGCAATTTTTACCGTCTTCTTAAAGTATACTAATATAATGAACGTGCCTCCAATAAATCGTAATTCTAATCTAAATATTTATAAAATGAAGTCAGACTTCATGCAAATCTACATTGCCTTTTTATACATATGTAAGCAAGTGCCTTTACCCAAAGCACCAATACGCATCGCTCAATTGGTGATTAAATCATCAATTTTTAGTGTATGTACATTTGTTCAAAGCAATGTTAAATTTTAACCTTGAATCTCAGTGTAGTATATATTTTATGTTACAAATAACTAATCATCGATATTTAAAAAAAAATTTAATATATCGACGCGAGATTTTTCATTTCTTTTTACCAAAGTGTACTCCGTCCATAGATGTTTTTTTTTTTTTTTACATTTTGTATGGGTTCCATATAAATAACATTTTTACACAAATAAATGAACAAAACAACAAATCAAGCAACCGTTTCATTGAACCCATTCCTCCCAACATCGTCGAATAACCTTATTAACGAAATATTTCGGATACCGATGATCTAACAAGTAAAGATTTTTAAAACGAAATAGATCGACGTTTACAACTAAAGCAAGAGAAAAACTCACCGCAGTAGGAGCCGACGATCAGAGGATTTTCGAGGCACGCAGCCGATCCATCGGGCGGCATCTCGCCGTCCGGCGCCGTCGACAGCACCATGATTATCACTCCCTGACAGGTGTCCAGAAATCCCTTTCCCAGCGTGCTCGTGCTCTCTGACATCCAGACGTCCGTTTTGCAAATCTAGCGGCGTGTGTGCTCTCGGCTCTTATCAAAGGCATCAACGACGCGTCGCGCAAAATCGTTAAGGATGACGCGAGGCTATATTAAAAAAAAAAAAAAAACTAATACAAAAACAATTGGCATCGCTTGCTAAGACGATATGAGATAAGACAATGGATGTAGGTGCAGTAGTAGTAGTAGTAGTAGTAGTAGTTAAGCTACCGCTGTGAAACTTTCGGTGTTTTTTTTTTTCTCTCGGCTGTCACGATGACGATCGCCGAGGCCGGTTACTGTTTGCTGTATTCCGATCGATGGGGCCGAGTCTGTCCTCCAAAAGGTTGCGCTCAAAATGTTCTTGAACGGAGTGTAGGAATGTCAGGCTTGCAGCGTATAAAAACAGGAATAAGATCACGTAGACGTTGACGAGGATTTTCATCGCGATTTTCATCAAAGCCAGGATTTTTTTTTTTTTTTTCTTAAATTTTCAAAGTTGCGGAAGTTTAAGTTTGTTTTATTTTTTTTGTCAATACGAGTCCAAATATAGCTTAGACAAACAGATTATAATATTTCAGGCAATTTTTAAGTTCAATATAGGGATCGAAACTGGTAAATCAATAGGAAGCGCGTACTTATGAATTTTGAAACAAAGAAATTGGCTGCGCTACCGCCGAGTTCAAAACTCAACCTTCAAACAGTGGCAGCGCGTGTCATAACAGTAACTACATCTGTCAGTAATAATACACTGCAGTGTGGTTAAAATACATTTTTTTTTTTTTTTTNAACCTATAAGTAGAATGTCTATACTTTTGGAGGTCGATTTTCAAGTAAAAGACAAATTGCACACTTGCCGCAAATAGCACAAACGATGTTAACTTTTCATTTTCTATTTATATTATTAGTTGCGGCTGGTTTATAATTAATTAAATGGCTCTACTGTAAGTAGCAACAGCAATAATTATATTGGATCAGCGCCATCTAGCGGTCTTTATTTTTTGGCCATGTAATAATTTAACATTGTTATTTGTTCATAAAACAGTTTACCAATTGACCTAAATTATTTCTAAGCACAGACAATGTGTCAAGGGAAGACAGTAGTCCCGTGCATCATAAATATTATTTATGCTAGTAAACTCTTTATTTACAAGAATTTTTTCTAACTTAAGTCATATTTTTCTCTACAATAAGTCAGGTAACAACTAACACTAGATAAACAAGATGTACCAGTACACCTCAAAAACTTGATAAGTTAATTAAATAATAGTGAACTATCTATCAAAGAAGTACCTCAGTAACATACGTGTTTTAATCGTTTGATACGCACAGGTAATTGTCATTAATGATCAGTATTAAATGGTAACGATGGGCTTTCCAATAGTTGAACCAAGTCCTTGATACACGACCAACACTCCTGTGAACTACATGTCTTCTTTTTTTTCTGAACTATTATACTGCAAAAACCTGACTAGTTGTGTTAACTGTGCACATTCGTTTGTTAAATGACAACCAAAGAGCAGTAAATTGCGTGGCTGCACTTTGATGGCAAATCTCATGAAGCAGAGGGAGTAGAGACATAAAGCTAAAACAACATGACAGTTTGTCATCAATTCAAAAATAAAATAATCATTTTGTGACCAAGTATTGCTCAATTGAAAATTAAGTTTATACATACCAAAAGTCATCTTGCCACTGATGAACTTGGGATCTCTCTTGATGTCAGCAATAGCAGCTATGGGGATTAACCAGTTTGCAGCAGGGCCCCAGAAGTGCGTGCTAATGGAAAAAAAAAAAAAAAAAAAAAAAAAAAAAAAAAAAAAAAAAAAAAAAAAAAAAAAAA